TATAGTAGAGGGACCAAAAAGGGTATTTAACCATAATATATTAATAAAAAAGATCACAAGTAAATTTTTTTATAAAAAAATAAGATTTAAAAAAATTAATATTACAAAAAATACTTTTAAAAACTTAAAATTTTAATACTAATTTTTACCTCCCAACTGATTTTTCTGGCTCCGTCCCAAGGCTAAACTGAATGCCATTCTTGCCTGCCAATGCTATCCACCACGAATGCGAAAACACAACAGAATGTCCTAGGCAAACTTAGGATTGGTGAAAAGACAGTGGCTTTTTTTGTCGGCAGTGGACCACAAACACAAGCGTTGATTAGACCAGTCGCGGAGCCACACGGAGTTCAAAGACGGTGGCCCCTGGCGTTTAAAAAATATATATAATTAATGAATTATTATTAAAATTTTAAATATTATATTTTCAATTATTAAAATATATAAAATAAGAAAAATTTAATAACAACGTGTTATTTTAAGAGTCTAAATATAATTTATATAATTAATTATTCATTTTAACAATTTAACAATTTATTATTATTTAAAATTCACTCATCTTAAAGTCTATTACAGAAAAAAAAAAAAAAACCAATTTTTATATTTTTTATGTCATTTTTCTTGCATTCAGTTTCATTGTCTCGATGTTAAACTCCTTTAACTAATCAATTTAAAAAAAAAAAATTGAGAACAAAGAGACTCTATCGGCAATTCAATGCAATCAACTGCAACATTACTCTCTTTATTGAAAACTTGAAGACAAATTAAGGAACCACTAAAGGGATCACCAAAGTGATTATTAATTTTTTGGTAAAAATTAAAAATAACACTATCTTCTTTTATATGAATCATATATTGTCATATTGGGTTTCAACTTTAAAATTTTGTAGGTTTTTTTTTATTTTAAAATTTTATTTTATGCTTGTTAGTAGGTATGTTCTAACAAAAAAAATTAGTATACTTTCTATATCCCTGAATAATTGATATTTTTTATTTAGAATTTATCTCAAAATAATAATCATTTTTTTATTTTAAGGAAGATAAATAATTTTTTTCTATTTTAACCCTATAATTATCTTTTAATTTTAATTATTTATTTTCTAATGGAAATAGATATTTATTTTTAGTTATTTTTTAAATATAAAATAGGTAAAGATAAAAATTATTTTCAAATCTTTCATTTGAAGATAAAACAAAAAAAATCTATTATTCTAGTATGGAGGGAGTAATTTTTAAGTAATGAAATTTATTGATTTTTTATTATCACAAAAAATTATATAATTTCTTTTTAAGATTTAGAGTTGTTGAGATTACAAATAAAATTGAATATTATAATAAAATTGAAGTTATATAGAATAAAATTATATTAGAGTAAAAAAATTGAAAAAAAAAAAAAAGAAAGTAAAAATCTATGAAGGAAATATATATGAATCTAATAAAAGAAAAAACCTTGGATATAGTCATATAGAGAAAAACAATAAGAACATAAATTAGTATAAAAAGAAAATAAACTCGTATAAAGTGTAATTAGCTTGTAAAAAAAAATTATAATTAACTTGTAAAAAAAAAATTGTCTGTTTGTAAAAAGTAATAAGATGAAAAGATAAAATCATGTCGTATTTTCAAACTATATCAATAGCTTGTGAAATAAGAAAATCAAAGGTTTATAGCAATAACAAAAAAAGAATTTTTTATTATAAAAATTACAAAAACGAGACTTCACAGTAAAATAAAAGATGAGTATTTCTCAAACTTTTTAATTGTTTATATTAAAAAAAAATCAATCATTTAATGTAAATAATATTATAAATAAATTTTATGATATAAAAATTCATTAAATATTATTTTAATATATAATATAAAATAAAAATTTAAAATTATAATACATTATTTTAAAACTTAAAAAACCAACCACCCTGAACTAAAATTTCTGACTTCGCTCCTGGTTTAGAGTTTGCTCCACTAAATTTATTTCCAGCTACTTACTTCCCTCTGGTTCCGACGCCAACAGTAACATCCTTCTAGAAGCCTGACTTTTGAAGCTCTTTTGTATCCATGAAAATCACGTTTTCCAGTTGGCAATGGAGTAAATGGGAGTACGAAATGGAGTAACTTTCTTCGCTACAATTAACTGAGGTTGAAACTTGAAACCAACCAGAAATCCAATTTCTCTATTCAACTGTCCTTGGATTCATAATTTGGAGAAAAATGCCACTAAGCACCTGTAGCAGAATCAAGGCAGCAGAATACAGGTCAAATAAAACAAGCCCTTAAGTCAAGGAAAAGTACTTGGTTGGCAGACAGATACAGGGGAAGACCAAAGTTTCCCTGGGGCAAAACTTCATCCCACAGTTTTTCTTGCAGTGATAGGTGGTTTCTTTCCATGGTCCTTGAGAGCAGTCTGAGCAGAACAGGACCCACTTGGGTTTGGTCAAAATAAAATTTTGTTGTTTAAATTGCCTTTATTTACTCTCCAGCCAAAATGGCAAGTGGGATTGGCATTTGGGTTGGTAATGCCATTAAATTTCCCGTTGAGTCGCTCTAGAGCCCTCATAAAATCCATAGCTTAGGAAAGGCAGACAGAACTGTAAGTGGGTAAGGCTTGCGTGAAGCTTCTTTTGCCCATTTACTATACTGATGATGCATATTTATGGCATTTATTGTGTTGCTTTTACAGCTTACATTTCACACTAGCAAATTGAAGTTCCCCGAGCCATTGTTTTCCAGTTACAGAAATCCAATGGGTTGTGGACAAGGAGAAACCCAAAAAGGTGAGTGATTAGCGGTTAAGCAGACATGTTTCAGTGAAATCTGGTGGAAAAAAATAGCTGAATTCGAGTGTAATGAGGTTTCTGTAGAAGGTTTTTTTTTCTTTTAAATTTTAATTATTTAATTATCTAATTAAATTTACTTACTTGTCATTAATATTAAAAAAAACTTTTAAAAAAATTGCTGTATTTGCGCTTCGGGAATTAAGGAAATGCTTGTATTTAGCACCAAAAACAATTTTGTTAGTTAAAAATCATGTGGGGTTCTTCAATGTGTCAATAAATTGCCAATGTGTTTGATTACTTAACAATCACCTCCGTACCACATCATATCCCCATTGTTGCATAAAAATCCCCATTATTTTTTCACTACTGTTTATATTCTGAGAACACTGCATATTGCAATCCATATTTAATGAAAACCTGATTCTGGAATACTTCTACTGCTCTCATTTATTGTTTGCAAACTTCACTGAACAATATTAATGGTATTTATTGCTTGTTATTTGTACACCTTAATTACCCACTGCAAAAGTTTCTCATTGGGTCGACAGACTGCCCCACACCATTCAAATCAAACCTACCTTACATGTAGCCAGTCGGCCATGCTTCTTCACCAGTGCAGAATTGTTGCAACCTTCTATACCATTAGTTATAATGAAACCTTAATAATGTATGAACTATGAACTATGAAGCCACCCCCCCGCCAACGAAATGCTGAAGTCTGGTTCCTAAAGACAAGACTGCACAATGATACTAAATTATAATTCAGTGGTTTAACGTTTGTACCAACTACTTTTTTACTAGATCTAGTTTGGACATGGAAAATGGAAACATGAATCCTCAAGGGGCCAACTGGTGGACGGGTAAGAGACAAGAACAAATACATTGGACCACAGTTTGTGTGAGGACTGGTTCTTTACATGTAAGCTTCCAACTTGATTCTTTTACAAAAATTTTTAAGTAAAACTTACTAGCGTCCCTACCTAGCTGCTATATATGCAGTTTTTGTCTTGGACTTGCTTCTTGACCACCTTGTCTTCTGCATGATTCAATTAAGCAGGAATGTATAGCAGCAGCATTTAGTTCTTGTTTTACTTGCTGCCATATTAGAGTCGTTTTATAAAGTGTTTGAAATGAGAATTGACTTGTTATTAGATTCTGATAAAGGTAAAATAGCTAAAATGGAAGATCGTAGTCCAACTTGATGTGATAACATCTTTTGAAAACCACATTTTCGGTATGTTAGCACGCCAAAACAGTTTTTGCAAGCATTGACCTTCATTGTTCCTTGTGTTTCTACTATGGAGCTCTATACGGGGTTTCTTTTAGCGTTGGAACTCTGGCAACGTCCATGGCTTCTCTTAATATATATGATTAATCATTCTAAATGGAGAAGACAAGATGGTTTGAATAATGAATTGGTTGATGAACAAAAATAGTGAGCTTGGTATGCAGGTAATGATACACAATCAAGTAGTGTTTGCATACAATAAATAATCATGAGTGGTGCACGGTTTATTACCTAAGGGCTTGCGATTGGACTGTTGACTGAAAGTCCAAGAACCCTGATTCCCGATTATGCCTCTTGATTCACTGGTTGATTGACCCAACTGTACTTCTCCATGAAGGGGTTAACAAGGGATTTTACAGGGTAACGATCTATGCTGTCTTTCCACACATTGTAATCGTCCAAGTCCCTCAGTACCTCCCACACACAGTTGTTGCACTTGAAACCTCCTCCAAGACTGATCATTAGGATTCTATGACCCTTCCTAAGCCTCTTCTTAGCTTCCATGTAACCTAACACGTACCAGAGGCCAGCAGCTGAGGTATTCCCAAACCGGTGGAGTGTCATTTTGGTTGGTTCAAGATCATATTCATTGAGATTGAAGTTCTTGCCCATTGCATCAATGACTGCCCTTCCACCTGGATGAATACAGAAGTGTTCAATCCCAGTCTTAAGGTTTAAACCTGCTTTGGCTGCTTCAGGAGCTGCAGTTTTGCATTTATTTCTCCAGTAAGAGAGTATTGCATGACGAAGAAGTTCCTTTAATGGTAACATTTTGGGTGCTAGAATTCGGAGGTTCATGGCCAAGGCTTTAGCAGCAGCCTTTGGCAGGCCTTTGGTAAGGAAAACACCCCGGTACCCCTGTTCATCGTCAACTTGCATGCAGCATCCATATGCTTCATCAAATGAGCCTATATGGACCCGTACTAAACCTTTTAACATCAGGATGGAACGATGCCTTAGCGATCTCTTGTTTGTCAAGAGCATGGAACACCCTCCTATGCGGAAAAGGCAGTTGGTGAGCATCATAGATCTTTCTTTGCCGCAATACCAATTGGGACCTATGGACTCTGAACTCACTACAATGGCAAACACATTAGCATGTGTCTTGAACAAGTTTTGGACAAGATCAACAGCTATAATGCTTGCACTGCAGCCCATTCCAGAGAGGTTGAAGGCCTTGATATCATCCCTCATCTTGTAACGGTTTATCACTCGAGCCAATAGAGAGGGTGCTGAAGAGATCATTGACACATTGATAACGAGTATATCTATCTCTGATGGAGAAACACCTGCTTTAGCAAAGAGCTTGTCAAGTGTATCAAAGATTACATCATCAACCTCCGAAAGTGCATCTTTTAGGGTTGGAGACTCTTCTCTGCCTGCAATGACATTTCTTGGGCCATAAGTTTCTTCACCAATCCCTGAGCTGACAATGGTTCTCAAGAGAAACCTGTATTCTTCAAGACCGAGATTCTTGTTTCGCAAGACAATTTCCCCTGAAGTACCAGTGTCAAGCTTTGTCTCCTCTGCAGCTTTGTAACATACATAGCCCAACATGTAGCAGCACTGGTTTCTCATTTGGAAAGCCATCTTGCATAGATAGAAGATGATGCAGTAAAGAAACAGCAAAAATATTGTCACAAAGAGCTCCATTGGGTATTAGAGAGAACAGAAATTATGAATTTAGAGAAGATCTGCAAACAGACACCTCTCTGCTCTCTATATAAATACCTGGATGGACCTTAGAGGTGTTAATTAAGTTTTCATCTCCCCTAGTATCTACTCTATATGCTTGATTTGGTTAGGACCTTTACAGCTTTTTCATGCTCTTTATTCTGCCAGTGAAGCAGGTGATCAAATTTAGACAAGGTTCCAACACTATCAGCAACTAGAAATTGATGCACATGGACAGTTCTTAGTAAAGCGCGTCATATCAGTTTGATCTTGAGAGGCCATAACATAGACACGTCCAATGAATACACTTTCCATATCTTTGCTATATTTATTTGGGTAGTTGCTTCTCTATCTTTGCTACTAGAATTGGCCAATTGGTTTTCAAAGTCAAGATCAGATCTGTGAAAGAAATGGTGAAAGCATTTAACAAGCAACAGCCAGTAGTTATCATCCATCTTCTCTGCTCCTTTGATTGAGGACATTAACCTCTCCACCCACTACAGGATTCATTTATAAAATATCAGGAAATTAAATTAGAAAGAGGGTATTTCAATAAGATTTCTCAAAACCAGTAAATATTGGACCTAGTTCATATCAGTATTTTTTTTTTTTTTTTTCATTTATGCCCTGCTGCCTCCTATACCGGGGACGGAGCTAGTGTAGATCAGGAGGTGGGGGCGGCTGGGCCCAGGCAGCTGCCCCCCTAAGCTTTTGAAAATTGTTAAACATGGTACATCAATTTTTATAATGACCATTCAAATATAAAAAATATATATTTTTAGGACCTAGGTAAAAGGATCATTTTTCTTTTTGTGACTAATTCTTATAGAGATACGGTAATTTTATTTATGTAAAAATAAATATAAAAAATATTTAAAATCTAGTTATTTGGGATAAACTTATATAAGTTTTTATATTAGTTTTATATGATTTTTTTTGTATGATTTATATTTTATTAAACCAAAGTTCATTTGATATATATAACCTTAAAAAAAACTATATTTTTAAATTATTTATTTAATGGTCTTAAATTCTATATTATTTAAAAATAGTTAAATATATCTAATTAATATAAAATTTATTACAAATAATATAAGTGGTACATGCATAAAAATAGTAATTGGTTTAAAAACCAATATAAATTATAATAATATAAATTGTTAAGGTTTTGTTTATCAATGTTATATTGTAGGTATAAGTTTTTTTGCCTTTTAATATCTTAAAAATAGACCTAGCAAATAGGTTGGATTAGGTGGGTTCAGATTGGGTCATTTCGAATCTCAAGTTGTTCGAATTAGGTCATTTTGGGTGTCGGGTTAAAGAGGTTGACCTATAACCTATCCACACGAGTCTTGGATTAGATTGAGTAGATCAAACTTTTTAAAAATTAAAATTAAAATTAAAATTTTTTAATATTTTTCTCTATTTTTCTTTAATAAAATCTAATACTAATTAACTATTTAGTTAAAAAAACTTTATTACTAATTAACTATTTAGTTAGAAAACTTTATTAAATGTTAATTTCCATTTCATAATTCAATTTTTTTCTAATTTCAAGAAAAGAAAAGGAAAAAATTAGTGATTATATAGGTGGAACTAAAATATATGTTAAATATATAATACCTATACAATATTTAAAATTCATAATTCAAAAGGTATCAACCTTCATTAAAAGAAAAGACATGAAAGATTAGAGTTCAAAAGATAAATCTAATAGATATTAATATCTAATGCCTATTCAATATTTATAAGAGTATTATACAAAAAATACAATTCTATTCAATATTTAGGAGGGGATTATACAAAAAATATAGTCATATTCAATATTAAAGTTTAAAAGGCAAATCCAAAATATGTCTAACCAAATACAAGAAGAAATTGGATTGGAATTGATTTTTATTAATTAAGAACAAATTATTAATTAAGAACAAATTAGCAACTAAGAATGGACCTTGATGTTCTTGATGTTCTTAATATTCTTGTTTTTGTACTTTAATGGTTATAAGGTTATTTCAACCATTGAGTTTTGATTTTTAGTAGGCATTCTTGCTCCTTTTTTTTTTTTATTAAAAAAATGATTTTTTTTTACGCTATCATATGACATAACTCACAATGTATCACCTAATTTAATTTTTGACGCAAGTGCCACCAAAGAAAAGGATTAGAGAGCTTGGGATGAAGAAGGGGAGAGTGAGAGTGGAAAAGAGGAAAAGTTGAGAGAAAGTGAAATTAATGAAAGGTTAGGGTTTGAGTATTTTATTTATTTCTATATTTAGGATTAGAAAATTAGAAATTTAATATTAATTTTTAAGTAATCTAAAAAAACTGAATAAAAAAAATTCAGGTCATTTTCGGGTGACCTCACCCATCCGTGACCCAACATATTTTGATTCAAATAATTTCAGTTTAGGTTATTTCATATTTCAGATTAACATATAAAACTCATGACCTTATCCACAACACACAGGTTGGGTCAAATTTTTGGATTTAGTCCAATTTTGCCACGTCTACTTAAAAATATATAAAATATTAATTAAAATTAATAACAGTATATATAATATTAATTTTTTGGCCAAATACAAAATATTAATTAATTATAATAAATTTATATTTTTACCAAAGTTGTTGTGAAAAAGGTTTATAAAAAATATGATCAAATGAAACCTAAATGAGTTAAAAAAAAATTAGAATTTTGCCCTCCTAACTCAAGTTTCTAGCTCCATCCATGTCCTGAACCGTTAAGTTATATATACTTTAAAAGTATGCAGAGACCAGATCTTGCAACCTTTACAGCATAAAGACATTTTCTGGCTGTTATCACCAAAATCCCAAAGTGAAGATCCCTAAATTTTACCTGACAATGTAACTGAGGTATTTCTCATCTCTTGCCCGTGAGTGAACCTGGCTATTTAATTATGTTCTTACCTTCAACATTTTTTTATCTACATTCATTAAAGATGTTTTCTTCTTACAGGGGCTGCTTTGCTGCCCATGTTTCCATATCACTGTCTCTTGAAGATAGCAGTTTACAGTTATGCTTTTTAATTTGTAACTATTCTTTTTAGTTTTCTGCAGTTAGTGTTTATGTTTTCTGGTAGTTTTCTTTTGCAAAAACTGCTATGTACGAGTTGCATATATTTTCAGCAACTCTTATGTCTTGAGAAGAATCTGAAATGAAGGAGAACTCCATATCAGAGAAGCCCTAATTCTGAATTTTCTGAGTTCATTGTTAACTGCTTCTAGATCAGAAACTTACACTGTCCTATGTCTACTCAGTTAGAGCTGTCCGTATGAGTTTTCTGTTATTTATTTTTTTGCTTCAGAACCACTCTGTCATAAGGTCTTGGGTGCAGAAATTATAAATAAAAATCCTCATCACAAAAAATATTCACTGATAGGATTCAACTTTTCTTTTTTCCTTTTTTCTTTTCTTTCCGCAGCTATGGAGCGTTCAAGTTCGGATTTTTGGGTTTTTGATGTTTGCCCAAATGATATTTTCATGTATTTTAATGCTGATCTTATTGGGGCTGAGTACCATAGACATTAGCTGCATATTTTCTTTAGTTTAATGCACTCTTTTATTCACCAAAAAAAAGAAAAACTTTCCTTATTTCTTTTTCCTTATTTTCCCCATATACCAACGCAAAAAAATGAACGTCTCTGTTTTTTTTTTAAAAAAATATATTCTGTTCTTTCATATCAACTTTCAACATAAACATTTCATAAAATAAAATCAACATAAACATCTTTATTTGCTGAAATACATCAATTGATTATCCATACATCATATCTGTAATTTTTGAAACCTATCAATATATATCAACATTAAAATCCTTTAATCCAACTAACTGATTTGATGAATAACATTATGACAGGAGCATTATTCTGGGGCTAATGGAAATAACGTGCATGGACTTTTGAGCAGCATTATGTTTGACACTTCTTCTGTAACTTGTCATGACCGTTGCTGGCTACTTGACTACTATTCAAATCCTGAAACATAAACAAAGCACAACCTGTAGAGGGAGATGAAGACATTAAAAGGGAGAAAATCCAAGATAACTTTGATAATGCTTGGTTTAATGTTTGCCGTCCTTCTTTCAAGGGAAGCGGTATAATGATTCAACTCCTTATCCTCTCTATGATTTCCGGATCAAACTGGAATCCGAGCTTGTTTTCCAGCCACTCCTGATCAATGGAGTTTATATCGATGCTCTCATCATTGATCCAGTTATACTTATCCATGAAGGGGTTGAGGGTTGACTTTACAGGGTAGTTCTCTAGGCAGTCTTTCCACACGTTGGGATCCTCCAAGTCTCTTGTCACCTCCCACACACAGTTGTTGCACATGAAACCAGCCCCAAGGCTGATCATAAAGATCCTGTCCCCCTTCTTCAGCCTCTTCTTGGCTTCCATGTAACCCAAAGTATACCAGAGACCACCAGAGGAGGTGTTGCCAAACCGGTGAAGTGCCATTCTTGATGGCTCAACGTCATACTCACTGAGCCCTAAGCTCTTTCCAAGCTCATCAATTACTGCCTTTCCACCAGGATGAATACAGAAGTGCTCGATACCAGACTTCAGATTAAGACCAGCTGCCATTGCTTCAAGAGCTGAGCTTTTTGTCTTCTTTTTGGAAAGAGATGCTTTTATCACACTCTGGAGGAGTTCTCTCAGTGGTAACACTTTGGGAAGCAGAACTTGGAGGTTAAGGATAAAAGCCTTAGCACCAGACTTTGGCAGTTTTCTGGTGAGGAGAAAACCTGGGTAGCCTCGCTTATCTTCTATCTGTATGCAGCACCCATATGCTTCATCATCAGAACCTATGTGGGTTCTTACTGAACAGTTCAGCTTCATGAGTGCCTGATGACTCAGGGCTGCTTTATTTGTCAAGAGCGTGGAACATCCTCCTGAACGGAACAGCAAGTTGGATAGCATCATGGATTTATCTTGACCATTATACCAATTTGGACCGATTGATTCTGTGCTCACAACAATTGCGTATGCATTCTTGTAGGTCTTGAACATCTGCTGCACCAGGTCGATGGCCACCATACTTGCACTGCAGCCCTCCCCAGCGAGATTGACAGCCTTGATATTGTCCCTCATCTTGTATCTGTTTATAATTCGAGCGGTTAGAGAGGGAGCTGGAGAGAATAAGGAAACATTGACAACGAGTATGTCTATTTCCGAAGGTGAAACTCCTGTTCTAGCAAAGAGCTTGTCAAGTGTGTTGAACATTATGTCATCAACCTCTGAAAGTGCATCTGCAAGGTTGGGAGACGCTTCTCTGCCAGCAATAACATTTTTTGGGCCGTAAGTTTCTTCACCAATACCTGAATTGGCCATGGTTCTTAAGAGAAACTTGTACTCTGGAAGACCCAGGTTCTTGTTCCTCATAAGGACTTTGGCACAGGTGTCTGTGCCAAGCTTCCTGTCCTCCCCAGGCTTGTAACACTCATAGGCCAACATGTAGCAGCACTGGTCTCTCATCTGAAGGTACATCTTACAAAGGTAAGACATAAAGCAGAAAAGAACTAGAAGAAATATTGTCATGAAAAGCTCCATTTTGAGTTAGAAGAGATTACTGCTACTAAATTTTGGAAGTTATACATGCCTATTTATAATACAAAATTAACCTTTTAGGCATCCATTTCGGATACTCATCTTCTCCTCCAACCATATCGAGTGGCCTTAATTAATCCTTGAAAATAAGAGTGCATTGTCATCTCCTTTCATCCTTTATTGCTCTTGCTAAGCACCATGGATTATTTCGTATAAAAGTAGACTTTGTGGACCGCTTTGTAGTTAGTAGTTTGCTAGCACTATCCATATTAATTAGGATGGCTACGTCTGGTTTTTCAATTTCTTGCATTAGATATTGACACCTCTTTTGCATCCAATTTTGAAATAAGTTTCAAACTAATTTGAGTCACGGGGTACTAATTTTTTTATCATTAGCTGTAACTTCGAATTTTGAATATAGGAAGTTTGGTTTTAGTTATTGATAACTAATTACAAAAAACTTATGTTGTTACATGACATGACTCAATCATGAAGAAAAAATGTTCAAACAAAAATGTTGGAAAAAGTATTGTTAACATTTCTATTCAAATTTTTATTTTGTGAGTGTGGTGTAGGTTTGTAGACAGTGTCGTATAGAAATTCATGGACCACTGAACATGGGTAGAAATGCCCCAAGTTAAATTATGTTTTTTTTTGTGAAACTAGAGTTTAATATCAATCAGACAGTCTAGTCCACGAAAATTGAAATTGAAAGATGGAACTAAATGCATGGTGTTGATTGGTTACCAAATGCATAGAAAAATTTGTTGGACATGTAGGCATTTAAGTCTCCCAGCTGTGATATTGCTCGCTGTCTCTTTCTCTTGTTAATTTTTTCACCTTAAATTGCTAGCCAAGTTAGGTTTCTTAAATTCCGCATGCCCCTGCTTGCATTCTTTCTCCACCCCCCTTAAATGCATCCATGATTTCATTTTTATTTGCATCTTTTTGCCAGCTAAAATCTATCAAGACATGGCTGATTTCTGGAGTGTTTGAATGAAGAGATTTACACGTGAAATAGTTTAGAACTTATAAATTCGTTTCTAATCTTATGTAGAATTGTAAAAATACTATTTGAGCAGAACTTTTCTTAAAATGTTTTAAGTATTAAATAATTATTTTCAACGTCTTGACTTAAAATTTTTGAAGTTTAAATCTCTATCAAACAGCTACTACCGCCCATCCACCTTCTCTTCATGACTTTTATGACACTCGCACTCTTACATGTTATTTGACGTTTCGAAAGAAGGCATTAAAATTAATAGTATGTATAGTTTGAGGAGAGCAGAACTTAAAATATTTTAAGCTTAAATCTTTATCAAACAAGTATTATTTCTCATTCACCTTCTATTCATGACTTTATGATGCTTCCTCCGTGGCGTGGTTTGACATTTTGAAAGAGTAAAATGATTTTTGTATAATTTTTTTGTCTTTTTTGTTTTATTTTTTTGTATACTCTGACGTGTTAAATAATTAATTTTTTAATTCATATGAAACTCATGATATTTAATACATTTATTTATTTAATAATATATAAAAATTATATTAAAAAATAAAATAAAATAACTGTCCCTATAACACCAACCTTTGAAAGAGGGCATTAAAATTAATAATGGTTCCCTCTTAAATTTTAGTCAAGTTTTATACCTACTCTTTTCTGGATTCTCTTCAAATTAAACATATGGAAAGTGATAAATTATTATTGATTTTAGGGATATGATTAAGCACCTTTGAATTTCACTTTTTATTTTTTGTTTCAAGGGCATTTTTAGATTAAAGGTACATTAATTATATTTTTTATAATTAATTTGCATTAAAAATTAAAAATTAACTTAAAATTTATCAATTATCAAACTACAAGTCTACAAACATCCACCTGATATTATTTAATTTGTTATAGAAATTAAATTTAAAATTTATAATTAATATATCTTTAATTTATATTTTCATTATACATGCTAAAAGAATCCTTATTTCAATAAAAAGAATAATGTGTAGTTGAAAACTAAAAATTAACTCCTAATAAAATTGAACAAATGGTAGTTTTTAATCAAGGTTTCTCTAATTGAATACATCTTTGGTTAAATGCTTAATTTGGTCCCTTAACTTTAAGAAATGAACATTTTTGATCCCTCAACAATTTTTTGCACTTTTTTGATCCCTCAACTATACGAAATGCACTCCGTTAGTCCTTCTGTTAATTTGAGTCGTTAACCTTATTTACGTGGCATTTTTTATATTTTTTTTGATGACGTGGAGAGCAAAATTTCAAAAAGTGATGACATGGATAAAATTTTTACCATGTCAGATGCTATCTGGCGAAAACACACTAAATCCATGCAAGTGGGTCCCACATCACCATTAACAATTGCTTTGCCTATCGATTATGAAATTCGACGGAACCAGCAAATCTGAGTTCGATTTAATCCAGAAAATAAGTTCCATCGAATCCAGCTCAATTCTAACTCAATTGTCCAAAAATCCCTCGCAACAACCTGCAATTTGAATAATCTCTTGGCAAACAATTCAAATCTCTTGGCAAACAATCATA